GGGACCGCAGTGCTGGGCGGGCCGGGGGTGGTGGGCCGGGGGCCGGGCCCGGGGCAGGCACCCCAGGGCCGGGGCCAGCCTGGACCGCGCCTCCTCCCCCCACACTCCCCCTTACCTGCTTCAGGCTTCCCGCCACTCAAATGTTCGCGGGAAGCAGGGGAGGGGGCGGAGACTTTGGGGAGGGGGCAGAGTTGGGGCGGGCCTGTGGAGTGTCCTCCTTTGGGAGGCACAAAATATGGTAACCCTAGTGCTGGGTGTTAAGTGGAGTGGGGATCTGAGGTGAAACTGATAAGCTGGGGGTACTGTTCCTTTGGAAGCAGCAAATCTGTGGATACTACTAGTGTCCTGTGGACCAGAGGTGGACACTCAGGAAGAGGTTCAGAGGGTTGAAGAGCTGGAGTGTGCTGATTGCTAACTTGTAGGGAGACAGCAGGGCCTGCAAGGCCTACCTACCAGGGAGGGCTTGTGTTGCCCATGGTCAATGTGGTTGGGGAGCTGACCCCAGTAAGCACAGACAATGCTTCCTCACACCAAGGGCAGGCGGCAGCGAGGGGCCTCACAACTCTGGGCATCCTTGGAAAGCGTCACAGGGATGTTATTTGTTCAACTTCTTATTGAGTACCTGTTTCCCCCCTCTTCATCCATCATGTGATTAGTGGTCAAAAATTCCCTCTCCTTCATCATGCCTTGTTCTTGGCTGTTGGAGCCCTCCTGCTCCTCCCTCTTCTCCCAGGGGATTGCACTACTGCCATCATCTTCTCTGTCAGAAAAAACATGATGTGCACATTCCTCTGCAGATCAACACGCTCTTCCAGATACTCCAATCTCACTGCATAAAGCTGCACCTCATTCTCTTGACACACTGGGAGTCGCTCTGCCTTCCTGCTTTTCCCACTCATTTTGGCACTAAAAAACTCTCTCCGGACAGCAGTTTACTGTGATCTGCCCCCCACTAGCAAAAGAACATAGGTATGAGGGCAAAGCTTTGATGGCAGAGGCTGCTGTTAGGCCTGCTGACTGCATTGGACCAGTCACACGGGGATGACTGAGAACAGTGAACGTACGTAACAAACCTAGTTTGCAAATTGCCTCTAGTCCAAGAGATGTTCACACAAAGTGTTCCACAAACACATACATTTGAGAAGCAGCATGTTCTTGTGGATAAGGTACTGGACTGAAACTCAGGAGACCCGGCTTCATGTCCCAGATCTGCAACAGCTTTCCATCAGCAGATTTCAAAGCACTTTACAAAAGAGGTCAGCATTTTTATCCCTATTACACAGATGGGGAAACTGAGGCACGGAGCGGTAAAGTGATTTGCCCAAGGTCAGCCCATCACTTACTCTCTCCGTGTCTCAGTTCACCATCCTTTCTCCATCCGCTGTCTGTTTAGACTGTCAGCTCTCACAGCAGAGGCTGTTTGTTGGTACAGTACCTACAACCAGAGGGCCCCAGTCTCAGTTGAGGCTCATAGGAAGAACTGTAATAATGATAATAAATACATTTGTAAAAACCAAAGTCTTCTCATGACTCACTTCCAAACAGAAAAAGGCCAGCTCGGGCTGAAAACCAATTCACGGCCAAGAGTTCACCCTGCTCTGTTTAAGAATTAACTAAATAAAATGCCATTATTAAGGCCCTACTTGAATTGTGGGATGATTGTCAAAAAATTGCAGCTCACTTGCAGACAAGCCTTGGAAAATTGTGGAAAAGTAATTACCTTATTATTTGCAATAATAAAGTCCATTATTACTTTTCCGCCATTTTCCACTATTGGCCACCCGGGGCTGAGAGCAGGGGCCTGGGGCTGAGAGCGGGAACGTGGGGCTGACAGCAGGAGCTCCCACTGTCAAAATTGTGGTGGAAGCCTAATATTGCGGAATCTCCAATTTCTGCAAAATCGCAAGTTAAGTAGGGCCTTGGCCAATACGCATTATAAAAGAGCTAAGCCCTAAGGGGGACACAATCATGACAGGATGGCAGCTGCAGATTGGCTGTTTTCCCAATCAAGGCTAACATAGGCACCTGTGATTTCCAAACAACCGTAAGCTCAGTTAACCCTTCCACTGCCTAACACATCCAGTAGGACTAGTGTAAGAATCACCCCTGCTGAGCTGCATGGAGATCCGGTGTGTGCATCTCCCCTCCTCCACATGTAACTGGAACTTCAGATCCTCTCTGGCACCATCCCCCTGCACTTCCTAGACTCTGCAGAGGGCTCACTGCAGACTCTAAGATCCACACTGCAGGAGGAGAGGGTTGGAGTAGAATCAGGGAGATGCATATCGTCCACCCTCCAACCTCACAGAAGATGCCTGAAAAAATGAATACAGTTCCAGGCCATATTGACTTATGTTGGCTGCCCTTGTCCCAGGAACCTGGGAACTTCCACAGCCACAGGGGGAATCCAACGGCACTGGCAGGGGGTTCGGGTGTCCAACAAACAAGAGAAGGAAGGTGGAGCCTTTGTACAGATGGCCGTGGTGTCTTGCAGATCCACCCAGGATCAAGGTGAATCTTGTGGAATCCAAAGGTCTGGGAGGTGGCAACCCTGCTCCCTCAATGGGGCAATTTGGGTTCATCTTCATGAGGATTTTCAGTAAACATTCTCCTGTCGTGGCTATTAATGCCAGAGGGGACAATCTATGTCAGTGCAATGTTAAGTCTGAGATTTTAAAGCAAAACCAGAGAGAAAACTATTCAATTCTCATGGCAGCATAAGCTCATGTGCAAGGGAATGATGGTAGGGCCTTTCCTTACATGGTTTATTTACAGGCATAATCATCAGTATAGGATGACCGCATAACAGTGGGTGATGTGATAGGTTATTGGGCAAATATGGCACAAATATGGGTTAATGAAAACTTGCAGCAGCAACAATCTTTTCAGAGCTATTAACGTCAGTGTCTGGAGTTTGCTAGTCTCGCATGACCTCCTATACCACAAAGTAAACAACAGTGTTATCAAGGAAACTAGAAACCCCTCGAATTACTGAAACATCTTAAGCCACTGCTAAGTATTACTGGGCTGAATAGACAGTCAATAAACTCAGGTGCAGTACTTTTTCAATGCTCTTTGTATTATGTGTTATGATTTTCTGTATGCAGGGTGCTGCCACAGTGGCTCACTAGGTCTTTTGTACAGTGCTGAGAGAGGCTCCCAAAATCAGTTATTGGGATGGATGAGGAATCGCTGGGTGAAATTCTCAGGCCTGTGTAATGCAGCTAGTCAGATTAGATGATCATAATGATCCCTGCTGGCTTTAAAACCTCCGACGCAGAAAGTAACTTTTTATTTTCAAAAGCCAGGCAGATGAAATTTGTATAAAATCTATAGTTGCTTATTCCCATGTCATAACTATAAAGAGAAGGGTAACAGCTCTCCTGT